AAATAATTTTTAGTGTGAATCCTATTAAGTTTCAAAAACGTTCTCAGTGTAATTGTGTGAAGGTTATTAAATGAAGCATATTTAACTAAAAAGACTTATTTCAAATGAAATAATTTCATGGAACGTTGAGTTGGATAAGTTTTAAGCATTTATTATGTATATGAAATTAGGTTGTTCCAATTTCTCACAATTAATGTATGAAACGTAGGATATTTTTTTTAAATATTAGTGGTTAAGTGTTACATGCACAATAACTTTACAGTTTATGCTTAGATTTATTGCTTTATTTTCGTATAATTATTTTCGTGCATTATTTTTATTCTTTATGGACCCAGCACGGTACCTTGAGAAATGCTTATGAGTAAATCGTTTGAGGGGTCCCCCTACGTACGCAAGTATTAACAAGTTACTAATGGGACGTAGTTATGCAAAAAGGATCCAACCCGCGATAAGTTAATTTGAGTTTATGATATTTGAAGTATCCATACTTCAAATATCATAAACTCAAATTATCGGTATGGTTTCTGTCTGTTTGTAATTTTTCTTCTTATTTGTGTTACTTTTGCTAAAATTGTTCCATCACATAATAGTATAGACTGCAAACAATATTTTTCAAGTCAACATTTTTGACACAAATTCGGGTTGGATCCTTTTTGCATAACCACGTCCAATTGTAATAATGCGATTATTAATAAATAATCACGTAAAGTCAATATTAAATTTATTACAAATTTTGTATCTCTTAATGTAATTTCTGTGTTATATTTGCAATATAACACAGAAATTACATTAAGAAATTACATACCTCCACATAACATTCTGAAAATATTATGTGGAGGTTATACTGTTAATAATGTAGACATGTTTAAGTAATGCATTAAAATAAATAAAAATGCTTTGGTCATATTTTATATTATATTTCATTAATTTATGAAGGTCTGTGTAGTTACTAATTTTATTTTAAATAAGCCTTATTTAACGCTACTTAATGTTATCTATGCATTTTCGTAAAACGGTAATAGTTAAGTCTAATTTCATTGTATATATCATTTTAAAATTCTTGAAAATGTACGAACGTATTTAATCATATTATAGCCGTGTATAAGGACAGCATTATACACTAGATTTATGTGGAACAGAAAGATCTTAAAAGCTTTTTGTTAGTAAAAGGTAGTTGTTATATGTAATACTAGCTGTGCCCGCGGCGTAGCTCGCGTATATAGCTTTTACTTGGAGAATTTGACATTCAGGTAAGAAAATATTAAACGATTTATATCATTACTGTATCAATATCACTTATTAGACGTCAGTGTAACAGACGTCTCTGGTTAGTGCGTATATACACTAAGCGCTCCGTCTCTATTTTTGCATACATGTCCACTATAAATTGGTAAAACAACCCCTGAAATCTTTGCAGATACGCAAGAAGATATATGCCTTACATGTAACAGGTGCGAATAAAATTGCAGAGCAAATATTTTTTTATTAAAATTGGTCTCTCTGGTATTAGGATTAACTTGATAAATTCCAAAATTGTACCCATTTTCACCGTGACAATATATTAATGGATATTGTAGAGCATCATAATATCGATACGTTTCATAAATCCCTGGCAGTCGATCGCCATGTGTGTGCAACACGATGTCACGTCTATCGCACTCCTGGTCAACTAATACCACTGCCACTTCATCAGTGACAGGAACGTTGCTACCGCGGTGTTCAGTAACCTTTTTTTTTTAGTAACAGGACGTCTGTCAGCGTTAATAACTATTTTATAATTGTTTATTAAATCTTGACGGATCGATTGCAATGCAACCCTAAAACTATGAACGTATGGATTTATTTCATGTAGCATCCTTTGAAGTTGGGATATGAGTTCGCTATTGAGTTGTGGGAAGTTGTGATTTCGGATATTAGTATGTTCATTATAATCTGATACAAAATAAATTGACTATTTTACTTATATATACATATATATTTATAACTCATAATAAACTCATAATATATATCATTTAATTTAATATATTAAGTTAAAATTGAAATTGAAAATATATAATATCTACATTGGTTCTGGGTAATGTATGGTTATTTGTGAGACTGTGACTGCACGTCAGTGAGTCTCAATACGATTCGGAGTATCTTAACGCCGCAATTCAGAAAAGAAAGTAATTTGTACAATGCCATCTATTACGTTCATTGTGAGAAAACTTTTTTAATTTAAGGAAAACATCTTTTTTATTGTTTACTTTGTTTTAAGTATAAATATATTATTATAGAACGTTTTTTTACACACAAATCTTTTTATTACTTTTTCTGAGATTTTATGGCGCCATTAAACAAATTAGAACCTACATTATAAACTAATAATCATAACTTTCGATAGAATTAACCAAATTTAATAAAACAAAAATTAAATGTAACTTGAAGATACGCTTTATGATTTTCTTAACGATTTCTTTAAAAAAAAATGTTTACTTTAGATGTGATGCGTTTATAAACAAACAGACAGACAGACAATTCTAAAAATTATAAAAATGTGTTTACTTAATTATTTTCATTTCCCTATAATGATTTTAGTGACAAATATTCTATACAATGTACAAAAACAGACACATGTCATCACCATTTTTATTATAAGTATATATTTAAAGAGAGATGGCGCTGCTAACAGCAATCATCAATTCTAAAAATAAAAGAGATTAATTGACGCGATTGGTACATTATTATATATATAAAACATAAAAGAACTTATAAGCCAGTGTCTGCATAGTAAGCAAAACGCCTTTTTATATTACATTTGGGCCATACCGCCATCTATCGATGAAATTGGTTAACTATTTCACTTTAGATTTAGTTAATAAGTTTATAATATATTTTTGTATATTATTTTATTTAATACGTTCTTTAATACTTTTGTTTACTGCGTTTTAGATATAATTATATCAATATAAAACATTATTTTACCCAATTTAATTATGATTTATGATATAGTATTAGTTTAAAATGCACTTGATGACTCAACCAACGCCACCGTTGAACAAATTCGTACCTACACTTCGTATTCATACTTCAGAATATTTATCATAACTTTTGATTGAATGAACTGATTTTAATAAAATAAAGACTAAATGTAACACGAAGATACACTTTATATTTTTCTTAATGATTCTTATGATATAAATTAGTACTTTATACGTGATACGTTAACAAACAAACAGACAGACAGACAGACAGACAGACAGACAGAAAATTCTAAAAATGGTAGAAATGTATTTAGTTACTTACTTTTAGTACCTCTCAATCACTTTTATTACAAAAATATAAAATGTACAGACGTCTGCTTTTTACATTTTTATTATATGTATAGATAAACTGCACTGATAATATTCAAGAAAAATATTTAACACGGCAAGAATGAAACAATGTAAATAGTTTGGAGAGCTGGTTAAAAATTTTAATGATTTAATACGAATCAATCTTGCAAATAATCAACAAAGTTATGAACATTTTAATTTTAATTACATATTATTAATTAACTACTGAATATTTCTTTCACATACTTACTTTCAAGGGATATACTGGTCTCTGGCGACAGTTTACCATATGTGTATAGCCTTGTATGTAGCCCCAATAAGTATGGTTTAAACGTCGTTAGGGCTGTTGGCCATTGCAGTATAGTCCTTATTAAATAATGAGATGTAGCATTCAGCTATCGTATTGCGTTTATCGAACACATTGGACATGTGCATACTATTTATATCGTGATTCGTAATAATTATTTGCCGCCTTGTGGATTGTTTCATAAATATAGATTCTGAGGAAAACGTTATTTATTAAATACGTATATAAAACAAACTGATACATACACTATGAGCTTATTATTTTTATTTACCTTGTAGACAATGGCATGTTTGGAATTGTTATTAATTTTTTATGAACTATTAATGGAACAATCTTTAAGAAAATAGATTTATAATATGTTAATCGGTTTTAGTACTTTGTTATGATAAAAGAGTGCACTGATGTAAATTATTAATTTGGTATCTGCATACCATATAAGACAATGGTATAATTAACAACTCATAATTCAAATAATCAGAAAGTTGTTTATAAAACAGTATAAAGGTTCAGATATGTTTGTATTTTGCAGTTTTGTAAGGAGTTACTGTAGAGGTGTGGTGAAGATGTTTAACAATTACAATGTTTATTTACAATGATGTCTTTTATTCGGCTTTATGTAATAATTGTAGATCGTAAATTACATTTTTATTTCCTAATTTTTTTCGCAGTGTATTATTCTACAAAATATTAAGTTATTGTCTAGTACTTACTGCATTCATTACCTTGTATATATATTATCTCTTTATATTTAAGTACAATTGTGGCCAAATACTCAAACGCTGCTCAATTTTAAGATGCCGTTAAGTCTCGTGCTGTCTCTATCACTTTAACTCAAAGTGAGTGTGACACCACCAGACTTAACATCTTAAAATTGTTTGGCGTTTGAGTATTTTTTGAGTTTGGGCATTTAATACATTTTAATACTTATATTTTAATTTATTGAAACGAAGTTCCTTATCGCACGGTACGAATTTGGCGGATGGGGGCTAGGCGAGAAAAATTGTAAGATTTTTCCGTCACGACCCCCATTCTATAGTGCGAGCGAGATGGAATAATATACATCACCCTCGCACTTTTTCCTATCTTGCCATGACAGAAATATTATTTTATCTTAAATGACGCTTCATTTTAATAGACGCTAGTAATTCATTTATTTGTATTTGATAATCAATAATATAATACGTTTATCAATAATAATTACACTACGAAAGGAACTTCGTTCCAACCGAGTGTTCCACGACACTCATGCATGTTTTTTCTTTTTTTGAATCTATGACATTGAATCGTCTTTTTTAAGTTATTATCTTCCCCTGTCGTGTTTGTTTTTTCAATTTATGTTTGAAATTATTAGCCAAACGCAATTCTTTGTGAATTTTCAGAAAACGTGCGGACGGTGCGGATTTTGAAGGGTTGTTAGAGTGAAAATAAAAATGCAATTTAGTACAATGCATATATATTATTTTATTTGTTTTTCACTATCGCAGACGAATCTGATGCATAAACATTTTTTTTCTAATGCAATAATAAACTGTAAGTTAATACCTTTACAGAAATTTACATTTACAAACAGCTTTTAACTAATTCAAGGTAAATTTTAGTTTTAAATCTTTGTGGGCGCTAAAAAAATAATACTAATTCTAATAACCATAATATTTTGTTATACATAATATCTTTTTATATATTTTTGACTGTGGAAGGAAAAGGGTAGATCTCCCACCCGGACAAAGTATTCCGGGGGAGCTATGAACAATCTATCTGGTGGTATTGAGCATATTCTATATATACAGAGTTATTTGGAAACTTTGGTGATTGTAACTTCGGTTCCTTCACGATTGTGGCGCGACGACAGCGCCGCCATACATTTCTATAACTTTATTGGAAAGAAGTGAAACTACTTTGTGTACAACCTGGAGACATTTAATTAGCAATACCTTTGATGACTAAATAGGTAGCTATGACTGTGTCTCAGGTCAGGTTAAATCTACCAGACAACTTAAAGTTTTATTTAATTTTAAGGTTGTAAATATCAGTCACATTACGTTAAAAGTAAATTCCGACGATTGCCAATTAATACAGGCGGCGTAGAATGCTTAACATAATTAAGTTTTCACCATTGAAATCATAAGTAGATATAAGATATGACTTGTCAGTCTTAAAATAAATGTACGTAAATAATTACATTAATGTTTTTCACCATACAAATCAATAAATGAATAAAATTATACTATTTTGCTTTGCAATGTTAAATAGGAAACACTTATAGCCAAATCATATTCATATTGTATTTTATACTGAACAAATAAAACTGATGTTTTAAGAGAGACTATCATCACAGCCACGTAAGCTTTAATTAATTTATTAAACACAATTAGAATACAAATATTGTTTATAACAACCCTCATCACAACATTTATGCGAAAAAGACAAATATATACAACTATAGCAGTTTAGAGCGGCTCCCCACTAGATGAAGTAACGACTTGGTAACATGCAGGAAGTCTGTGGATGCAGGTGGCTCAAGATCGTGTTTTGTGTCATTTTTGGGGGAGGCCTATGTGCCTCAGTAGTAAACTTATGAAGGGCTGTAAAATAACGATGATGATACAAGTATCATATAACAGTAAATTATTAAAAAATTATGTGCTTTTGCTTATTTTCTAATATGCAGGCTTTTTACTTTAGATAATAATAATAATTTATTGATCCCAAAAACACTATAAACATGTTCATTAAACCAGAATAACAATATATTTTCGTGAATATTTTTTTAGACTGTTTACAATTCATATGATAAATACATAATATCTGACAGTAGCCAATAACACCTAAATACTATTAACTAACGTAAAAAGGGCTTTTGTTAAAAGGTCGGAAATCCAAATTACGAGAATCACATTGTTTCCTACAATTATACTTTGAATCTATCAAATAGATACCTACTAAAGACCTACTAAAAACCAGTGTTTTATTTATGTTTTTATTTTAATGCAACATAACATGAATATTAATGTAATTTGAAAAAGTATTCCTTTTTTTGTTAAAGTACGTAAGTTATTTCTGCCATTACTATTAAACTGTAAAAGAAACAAGAGAGTCTATTTCTACAAAGAGAGCTTCTTTACGTAAATTATCAACATAAATTGACAACTTGATTATAAAAATTAAAAAAAAATACTACTTATAATAACAATATCAATCAACCAAGTCGACATTAATCGACTCCGGTTTGATACATTCTTTATTTATTGCACTTCCTTAAGTATTAATCTTAAGAACTAACGACGTACGAAATATTGCCATTTAACGTCAATCTATGAAGAGGGCACCTGAAATAGAAACAAATACGACATATAGTTGGTCAGAAGCGTGTTGTATTATGGGGTTTATGGCCAGAGAACACCAAATGCACGTGACTTGTAATATGTGGGATGCAGCACGAATTGTGATATGTAAATGAGTTGAAGATATTGAGTTATGTACTATGTATGTATTTAAATGGTTGAAGACCTAATTACGGATTTGATAATGCTGCTTTTAACTCGTATTTTGCTTTGGTTTTTTCCCTACGTTATAGAAAACGCAATCTCTACTGCCCACTCCAGACTGCTTACTATGCATCTCCCGACGACGTGTGATTTTACATCATCATTATCATAGTTTTTAATTGCTCAATATAGGTAAGTGTAAATCTCTCGAAATCTCCGAAAATCTGTTTATTCCGTTTATAAGTAAAATAAGTTAAGTATGTTCTTCATTATTAGTGAAATAACGTAGTATACATCTTAGGGTAGACTTTTTAGGGTGGATAAATGGAATATTCCTGAAAATCCGCCTTCTTTTATAGGATAGGGTGACAAATGAGCACACAGTCCACGTGATGGTAAGCGGATGCTGTGGCCCATAGACATCTGCATTCATCTTCGATCAAGAATCAAAATGCAGATGCGTTGTTCATCCTTGAGGACTAAGATGGAACGCCTTGTTTCCAGTAAAAAGGGTCTCCGGTTCTCTACACTCACCATACGAAACACAGCAGTATTAAGCTGCTATTTTACTCTGGTATTCTATGAGATCGTGGTACTACTCTAGTCGAGCCGATCTATTCGTGTTGCAACTATAATATAGCTGCAGCGTGGCTATACCACGTATAAATATCACAGATATTCGCTATTACTAGATGGAAGGGCTCATTTTCTGTTGAACTTCTCTACTAACGAACTATTTCGTGTGCACTGCTGTCTCTGGGTTGGAATGTATAGAGAGCTAATATAATTAGAGGCGGTGAGGCGTCTTATCTTAGTTCTGAAGCCCGATTTACGCCGGAGGAACATCATGCGTCCATGCGGCATGCCATGGTCGCTTGCTACAATAATTAAGATTTTTGCACATTGTAGCACTGTATTTATAGATTTATTTGCTTAAAAGATGAACAGATAAGGATGGCACAATTCTTAAAGCACAACATATTTTGCTATGTGATTGTAAAAAGCATGCAAATTTACATAGATAACACAGATAAATGAAATTTATAACCTAATCCAATACAATACCATCCGTTCATCATCATCACACTAAAACAAATGAAATCATAAGTAATATAAAGATAAATAATAATAATAATTCATTAAAAAAAATTATTAATTACATTCAATAAATGACGTATCATATATCCAAATCAGATGTGGTATTTTGATGCCACAAAAAAGTTTTAACTTTATGTTTTGTCTATTTATTTTCTTTAAAATAAAATAATTATTGAAATGAGTCATAGAGAGTGGTTGAATGACAAATATTCCGATTATATAGAAGTCACACTATTTTGCTTTGCACTGTTTACCTTCAAATTTTTAGTACAGTTTGCACATAGTCGATCACTCGCTGGTCGTGCAGTATCCCGATGTGTTCTGCATTAGGAAGCGGCACGCTCTTGACGGATTTGCCGCGGTTCAAAGTGCGCCGCCCCTTGGCCCAATGCGCGCACGCGCTCAGCGAGCGTAAGTTGACGGTTCCGTCGCCGTCGCCACTCTGCAGTACTGGGTAGCCGTCGAGCCAAGTACCGGGCTTGTATACCAGCCTGGAGGGAAAAGAAAAACTCGTGAACGTAATATAAACAATTTACCCGTAAAAAGCAGTCTCGTGTCGTTAAACTTTTACAATTACCTTGCCAATGTAATTCTGAACTTGATCTCGATGATGTCACAGACACAGTATGATTAGTATAGATAACAAAATGACATAAAAATATGGCCTTTATCTAAATTAAAAAAACACAATTACATCCCCTGTGTAATGGCGGGTAAGAATACCCACTACCCCATATCTTCCCGTGGGTGTCGTAAGAGGCGATAGAGGGAAACTGAGGCAGAAAATGGGCAGCAGCATCTTTCTGATAACAGCAAAAAGTAATAAAAAAACTGCGGTTGCCAACCCGCACGCCTAGCGTGGCAACTATGACAATACACCCCCCATGAACAAAGATACAAATAAACGTCCCCCAATCTCCGGCGGCCCCGCTATTCCTGGCTACAGTGGCGATCATGGTAACGGCGAGCCAGGGGGTGCTAAGAATCTTCGGTGGAGGTTTGGTTGCTACCTATGACGACTCGACCTGGTAACATATAACGCACGCACCCTGAGGACAGATTAGAAGATCCTGGAGCTGAAAAAAGAGATAGACAAGTAGCGCTGGAATATTATATTGGAAAGAGAGGGGGAGGACACGGTAATCCTCGAATTCGGCAACTTGTTCTATCACCGAGAGAGCGACCATCTGTCCCAAGGAGGAGTTGGATTTATCGTCCATAAGTCTCTCGTTAACAACGTTGTTAAGATTGGGAGTGTGTCGACGAGGGTTGCGTACCTTATATTCAGAATCACCAAACGGTATTCGCTGAAGGTCGTACAGGTTTACGCACCCACCTTGGCACATCCCGATGAGGAGGTGGAGGAAACGTATGAGGATATCTTTAGTCATGCATTCCTCCAAAACCCACTATACGGTGTTAATAAAAATAGAGAACGGTGAGCTGAAAGTAGGGAAATTCGGAACAGGGTAACGGAACCCAAACAACCAAGCAGCTGGCCGACTTTATGAAGAAAGAGATAATTTAAAGCCACGAAAACTTTCAGTTTGAGTTAGAAAATCGTTTTCAGTGCCTAGAAGATTGCAATGAAGTGGACGATATAAATGACAAGCTTGTGGAAACTGTCACTGCGGTCGGAGCTAAGTTCTATAAGACCTGTCGCAAAAGAACACAAAACTCTCCGATCACACTCTTAATCTCATGGATGTAAGACGGGAGATGAAGCTGCATTCTTCAGCAGATTTGACAGCATACAGGCAACTGAACAGACAGATCTCGAAAATGCATGCGGCGGGACTTGCGCAACTTCAATACAACTCGTATTGAAAAAGCGATCGA